GGTTTTCCATTTTCAAAGACAAATTAAAAAAAAAAATTTCTTATAACTAGAAAACTATTTTGTAAATTAATAATAATTGCAGTAACGTGAATCGAAATAATATAATTAGTAAACATAACCATAATAATTATTTTTTAGAAGGAAATTTGTTTTTTGTTTTACAGAAAAAAATATAAATTCTAAAGTTATGACGCGTAGTAGACAAAGTAGTCTACTAAAAAGATTTATGACAATGTTGATATCATATGGAAATATAAAATAACTGAGCTTAAGAAGGGAAGTGTTATATTTAACCCCTTTTAACACGCAATTAACCCCATTTTACGAGAGTCCTAATCTTTTTCTTTACAGATAGATTTATGAATTAATAGTGGTTTTTAGAGCGAACAAGTTTTGAAAACTCTTTTCCATCTCCTGCGTTATTAAAAAGTTTTTATGTTCCCAAGAGCGCCGTATGATTAGACCGTTATGATTCGTTATGATAAAATTCAAAGTTTTAAAAAAAGTGTACCAGGGCAATATCAAGGTTTTTGGATACAAAATATTTTCCTTAAAAAAATTATATTAATGATTGTATTGTGCTAATATTAGTATTAATTATTTCTCAATAAATATTAATTATCAATCGAAAATATTATGTAATGGTAAGAATATAAGAAAATATATTGGTACAGTCGTCTACTTATTAAATAACTGATTAATGATTGTTTTTATTTCCAATTATTTTCCTCCTCTAATTATTTATTGTATCCTATACATTTTTTCCATCCTTTGTCTCTTTAGTCATTATTATTTTTATTGTATAACATCGAATATGCTTTTTCCATTAAAACTTCTTTTTCGTTTATAATTTGATTAATTTTCCTTATTTTTTTATAACTCAATTTCTATATTGAAAGCCATATAGAATTGCAAAGTACAATCATTAGTCATCGTTGTCAGGTAATTTTATTTTAAGCACAAGAGAAAATCTCTATGTTTTACAGCTTCCAGACAATGTACAACGTGAGACATGAGTTCGGCATTTATCATGTTCAATGTTCTATAAAACAGTTTAAAAAAATGATTCAATCGTAAAAGTTATTTTCTTCCAATTGTTGCTGTTTAAATCAACATTTACTTGAAATTTATTTTTTATTGTTTTCATTATTTATTAATTTTGTTAAATTCTTAAACTTTACAGGGGGGATAGTAGAAGAAATAAATCAGAAGAAACTTTGTTGGCTTCGTTAAATATTTTGTATTGTATTTTAGTTTGGATATTATCCAAAGAGGAGAAAATTTATTGTTAAATATATTGTGTAATATTATTAATAATTTCTGGTGAATCTGATTATGAAATTTCCTTAAGTACAAACACATTCTAAATTCTCAGCAAATAGATGATAATGTTAAAGGATGATCGAGATATTTAGACAACGTGAGCTGCTGGGAAAATGGTAAGCCTCTATTAAGCTCCAACTCATTACTAGAATGGGTTCGTGTACTTAACGAAGAAGATCGTTTACAAGGTTGTATGTATGTGTCACGGCATCCAAGTTCCTTTAGAGGAAGTAAATAATACCTCACTACAGTATCTACAGAAACATTGGACTCTGCCAACTACAATATACTTATGTTCATCATTTCATATTAAGTTTTAGTAATTCCGGCTTAATGATCATTTGATCTAACAATAAGAAACTTTCTTCTTTAATTACATTCAGAGGGAATAATTACCTAACTTTTCGAAACAATTTATGCAAATGTTCAAATGCAGAGATTAACAATTGCTGACTAAAAATCTAATTTTCATCAATTAGATTAAATAACTAATATTGTTAGTTTTGAGATTTTGTCCAGTGGGCACCAGAATGTCTTAAAGATATCCTAAGAATGTTCTAAAATGTCCAGGATAAGTTTAACCCTGGAAAAGAAAACTTAGAGCCTCTGACTCGACCAAGGAAAGGTTGGGACCCTAACGGTAACAATAATCTAGAGGTCCCCCTAAAGTAAGATACCTCAATATGGCCAAACTGAAAATATTCCCAGAATATAAAATTACATCTTCTATTTTCTAATCACATTCCTCATCAATTCGTTAAATCTGATGAATTTTGGAATTGTCGTTTTATTCATGAGCAAAAAAAGGTAACTCCTGTGATATATCAAAAAACAGAGAGAATTTAAATGAGACAAATGATAGGAGAGCAAAGGAAGGGTGAAACATCGAGGAAAACTCACGAGAAAAGAGAAATAACTTGTGTAAATTGATTCACATACGATGTAACAATCCATTTTTCTTACTTGTTATTTGCTGCGATTTCAGTCTCATTTTATGAAGCTTAGAGTCCCTTTGCGCTAATTGGAAAGGGTCTTAAGTGCCAGAAGAGACCAGGGCAATTTATTAGGAAGGAGATTCTACGTAATGGACTGCGACGAAGATAAACCCCACTTCAACGTACTTTACTCAGTTTGGAACGTTTAATTTGTCTTTCGTCTTTCGACGCGTCTTTCCTTCTCCTGTCTCGGAGGGACTTAAGACTTCTCGCGCCTTTCCGAGCAGGAAAACTATTCAACGGCCTAAAAGAAGAAATTACCACTTAAGCTACCATCGCGAGGAGATGGTGATTTAGTGCGACGTGGCAATCTGTTGAGAACTTGAAAAGAAATGTTAAATTAAAGTTTGCCATAGTTACTGATCTGTATACCGAATGGTTTTAATTAGATGATGCTAAAGAACGTTATTAACAAAATATTTATTTTTACAGGAAATTCGCCGAAGGAAGTGGATTCATTCCAGGGGACAAGCGTTCAAAGCGTACTTGCCCTAGGATTCTAGTGACAATTCAAACTAATTTTGAAGTCACACGATGCAGTCTTTAACCTTGTTGTTAATAGTTTAGGAGATTAACACATTAGATACACTTTTTTTATCAAGATTTTTCTTATATGCAAATGAATTTTAAGACCGCCACTCTCCTTGTGTTGTACATTCAATCTTAATGAGTCTAACTTCGACTTTTTAATGCTGGCTCTAAAGGACGCCGTTAGGGAGTTCTTTTAATGGACAGCCATAAGAATCCTGAAGATAACTCACTACCCTGTGGAGAGATGATAATCCTGTCAAAAATTATTGAAAGTTTTTTCTTGGTCTTCATTTGGAGTCATCATTAAAAATCCCTCCTCACTTATGAAGTTGTAATCCGTCGGGAGTTCTAATTACTTATAAACTAAGCAAGAGCAACTTTTCCAAGGTAACTTGAAAACCTGTCATGTTACAGTACATAACCATATTGTGAAGTCGATTCAACCACAAGAATTGTAAATGAAAAATAATTGTGGAGATTGTTAGGAACATTATCGACCGTTAGGGGTGACGTTGATTCACATGTAATTCATTTGTGGCATATTGATCGCCATGAGGCAACGCACATATGTTATTATGACGTGAATATTAATTCACATTGTTGCTGCTGCTTTATTTATTAATATAAAACTATTTGTTCAAAATATGCTCCCTGAAAATGGTTCTTTAATTACGTTAACTCGGGGTTGTTTTATTTTATTATTAACAAATAATGAAGTCAATGAAGTTTTGGACGTTACTAAAGTTTTATCATTAATGTCAATTAACAAGTTAAGTTTTCGCCATCACTAAAGTCTGATCCGTTAATTACCCAGTCAAATTTTGGTTAAATTCTATCTTTAGGGTGAGTTAGGGTTCATCAGTCAACCATAGTATTCATGATAAGCAAGGTTTCTTTATACATTTGGTTAAATTCAGCGGTACTTGACTCAACCATAGGATTCATGATAAACAAGTGTTCTTTGTATACCCAGTTCAATTTAGTGGCACTAGACTTCTAGGCATCATAACTACGTTTAAACCGGGCCTACAAGTCCTTACAAGAATAAAATTATTAGTAACAATTTTAAATCCTCGTGGTAGTTAATATCAACTTTGTGGAATTACAAATATTTCCTTCAATACAAGTAAAGTTAGCAAAAAAATTGAAATAAGAAACCTTTCTATTTTATTGTGGAAAACTTGTACTATAATCTCAGATTTGTATCAGCATATCTGTTGTTAAGAGCAAATGTGCTCTCACATAATGGACTTCGATTGCTTCAAGTTTGAGTAGTTTCCGTTTATCGCAAACATCGTTTTCGACATTCGATTCTTCGAAGTTTCTTGTTCAATTGCTTCTTTTCTTATGTGAAATGCGACCGATTTATTATCGGTTCTGATTCTTTGCAACTCGAGAAGTAGTTTGTTAAACAAATCCTACGAATTTATTATATACACGCAGAGTTTAAATTAATCAACATCTACTGCCAAATTGCTTTTTGTTTTAGTTTCAAAGACAAGAAATTATTTACTAGCTTCTCAATTGCGAGATGCAGAATTGAACTATTGAAAAAATTTTTATTTTTATTTTAAAGCTTTTTAAGAATTTAGTTGAAAATTGTTAGAATCAGAAAAACTATCACTGTCATTTAGATTGAAGCAAAATACTAACATTATTTCGTTCTGAATGACGTATTGAAAATTTGATGACTGACTATTACGAAACACGTCTCTCGTGTCGAATTCTCTGTGGCTTTCCAAATGAATTTCGAGTAAAAAGAAGTCAGTGACAGTAAATACTGTCCTGATTGAAGTTAACTCTTTGTGAAGATAGTAGCGACGGTGTCAATAAAAATTCAAGACCTCAGCTTTACAATTTCATGGTAGATGTAACCTACGTGAGTAAAATTCAAGCTTCGAGCTTTTCGATTTCGATAAAAATACGTCAAACTTGGATCCACATTCAATCGCGTTGGTTTCTTTCCTTGAAAAATATATTACCTCTTTGTATGGAAAATTCTACAGATTCTTACTTTTTACAATGTTACAAACTATCGTTGAAAAATTTTTATTCCTATGTTTCATCAAAATTTCTCATTGAAAATAACTAAAAAGAAAAACTTCAGATATATATGTCAACTGTGTTTTTAAAAAAAATTTCTGTCCTTACCGTTCGATTTCCTAAATTTTTTACTTTGCAGACAAGATGAACGGTTTGTCCCACTAATCCAGTGAAATTCGTTGGCATAACGATGTCGAAATGGGGACCTGTGCCAGGGGTGGGCCATTCTTCTAAAAAATTCATGCGAAAGTTCCTCAGAGAATTTGTTGAACCACCTGGAACAATAAAAGAGACATGCCAATTTTTAAAATTTACTAACAAATGTAAAATTAGAAAATTAGAAAAAATTCAGTGAAATGCAGTAAAAATGTTTGTCGTAATTTTCTCATTTGTCCATAAGGCAGATTGTTTTAAATAGCTTCATTTTCTGGGAAACAAAAACTCTTCATTATTTTTGAGAAATTAAAATACAGTCAACTCACGAAAACGGCATAATGAAAAGTTTAATGAGAAAAAAATACACATCAAGAATTTATTAAACGTAGTGTAAAAAAATTTTCATACTTTAATTAGAATAATGAATTCTAAAATAATGGTTTTGTTTTATGAGGTAATTTATAATCTTTCATAATTGCTTTTTTTATTAAAACGTGTTTGTTAATTAACAAAAGGTAATTAAAAAAAGGTGATGGGTGTCGATTGATAAAAATCATGTATCATAATTTTTTGGTGTACTTTGTTCTCTGGTAGAGGGTTTTTCACTAAAGGACGATCAAATAGCAAGATAATCTGAAAAAGGAGAACAAATTTAGTAATTAAAAGGTTTGGCAGCTATTCACAATCGATAATTATCGATTCTGTTTTACCGATCGCTGATAATTATCCGCGGTCGGTAAAACAGAACACCAAATTGCTCCTGAACGTTGCCAAACTCATCAAGTTAATGCTAAACTACCTACTTCATATAACACGAGACGCGAATCTTGCACTGAGTCAAGAAAATGAATCATTAAACTTACTTTGATATTTTTATACCCGATTGAAACTAAAACAATTACCACGGATTATATAAAATCATTTTTTTCAAGGGATCAACCCCACTGGAGAATATTTAACAATTACATGTGTTTTAAAACGAAATGTCTATTTAATATTTATTTGACAATTGTTAAATGAAATTAATATACCAAATAGGAAGTACATCAAAATTTTGGAATTCAATGTTTAACCGACTGGTCATAGGGGTATTGATATGACAATGCACTATACTATTTTAGTTGATTCGTGCTTTTAGCCCATGTTATAGAATAGTGGTGAATTGTTTTTCTGCTTTCTGATTACATGGTGGTTTAGTCTCTCATATAATGTACTGTTGGAAAATAGACGAACCTCTATCTCCTCTCTCTCTTGTTCCATCTGTCGCTCTAGCGTATACATATCGGTACATACGCTGCAATCTACCTCGTTTTTCCCCACGATCCGAACAATACGTCGCTGAACACAATTTTAACGACATTTCGCTTTACACACTTGTGTATCGAGCGTTAATTACATGTCGCAATCGTCCCTGAAATCGACAGGATCAACCAATCTAATGAAGACACTAATCCTTTCAACTGCAATTTATTTTATTCGAGCAAAAACCAAACTTGTTTTACACTATAAATAACAAACTTTTTGGAATTAAAGTCAGTTGATAGTATACACAATTTAAATTTATCGATAAATTATTTTAGTAGTTGAAATTTAATTATTAAAGAAAATATAATCTTAATTGAACAATCACTCACACAATTTATAAACGAACTTCGTCAACCGACAATTTACTATTTAATCAAGCATTCACTAAGGTCCGGTTTACTCAACCTCGCTTAGAATTTAATCAACAGTTTAAATTTTTAATTAAACAATTAAATTTTATAAGCGGTTAAATACATTTTAATCACTGTTTAACTTCTAAAAAGATATAATCACATCGACACTTAAAAATTAATATTGAATTAAAATATCACGTACAGGAAAAAGTAATAAATTATAAGCAAATAATTTATGTTAGCATATTTTTTCATCAGTTTGCAAAATTTAGTAGTAGATATTAAATATTTTTTGGAGTATTTTTCATAAATGTTCCTTCTGGACACATGAACAGTGGAACACGTACTAGAAGTGAAGGGGGATCTGCAGTGGAATATATTGTGGTAATAATATTCTCCCTTCCTTTCTTTAGTCCCAACCATTTCTTCCCTACTTAGAAAGAAATGGTAGATGTTTTACAAACTCTTAGTATCTGTCAAATCCAGTCATGCTTTTTAGGGTTCAAATTTAAGAGAACTGAATTTCATTACATTACCCGTAGTTTATGAATTTCAAAAGATTATTTAGAGACTGAAATTTGTATTAATAATCAATATTGTCCGGCTTCTAAAAAACACTGTTCAATATTTCAAGTCCAATTTCCTGTGCGGTGATCCGATGGTTATAAATATTTCCTATACGGATTTTTAAAATTATAGTATTCATTATATTTATAGAACAACAATTTTCGAATAGTAATTTCCATTGAAAATTAATTCTTTTTTATAAGTTATTGATTTTATTCACATTGGAAATACTGCAGCAACTCTAACAGATGGGGGATATTCAGAAAAACTGATGGAATAAATTCCTGATTGTCGAATGTCCTATTTTTTTTTTAAAGAATAATCCTTTGGGTACGTTGGACAATTCTCAAGCGTGTATAATAATTATTTCAGTTTTACAAGTCTCAGGGGATGTGCCAAAGTCCGCTGTTCATTACGAGCTAGCGTCATGGGAATCCTGAGTCGACAGTGACGAAGACTGTGTGGTTTTGCTGGTTACCACAAAATCCTATTTCGCAACTGCTGTCCCGCCGAAAGGTAACTTCGTTTTAGTTCTCAACTCTTACGCCAGATACGGTTTTATGCTCGGATAACCGCACTGAAAGCTAGGAAGGAAGTTTAGTCTGCAAGTTGTAGGTGAAATTTACAATGATTCATGACGAATAACTTGCTGTGCAAGGAATAGAACAGGATTTTTACTAATATACCCATTTCTTAATTTTCTTTTGATGATTTGGTACGTACACACATCAATAAGAAAAACTTGACTCCCAAAAAGTAATTAAAGTGGGTGGTGCTATCATATTGTCCCTTTGGAAGGAACTATATAAAAGGTGCCACCCTTGCCAAATTCGTCAGTCCAGAGAAAGTTGTCTTGATGAGTAAGTCTAAACCAAAACTGTGTTAGTCATCAAGTGTCTTCATCGACTCCAGTCCAGAAATAGTCAAGAAATTCTCTTGCAAGGAACTGTATAAAAGGAGCCACCCATTGTCGAAATTGTCAGTCTAGGAACCGCTACCAAGTTAACTAGTTGTGTACTGTCATCAAGTGTCTTCTTCTGCTTCAGTTCAGAAAATCTTTTCAAGTATCAAGTGCCTTCTTCTAATCTCGTCCTAGTCAAATTCATTCAAGCAGATAATTTCTACTGCGAACCACATTTCTATTTTTCTAAGGACTGCATTACTTCGACATCAACGTCATATAAATAATTCGGTCACTCTTAGACCAAGAGATGTTTTATCTAATTTACATCAACACCTGGACTCCGGATCTTTCACTTTGGCTAACCCGAAAACAATTTGAGGGAAATCTACTGCATTCTCTTTTTCCAGCAACCGGTCACCCTTAAAATAAAACTATTTAAAATTTCTTCATATTTCCAATTTGTTTAACTTTGAAAACTCAAAAATCAGCGAACCCTAAACTTCCACAAATCTAACTAATTCGGTGTTATTTCACAAGAAACTAGTAAAAATTCTAGAAAGAATTGTGATAATGATGAAACGTTTGTTAAAATAAAAAGTTTCCCATAACAAAGAAACTGACAATGTTAATAATCTTTTGTTGAAAATAATTTGAAAATCCCTATTCTCATTATAAATGGAAGTCATTGAAAGAGATAAACAGATCAAAAGAACTTATGGATCTTGACCAATTATTCTTTCCTTTATGGAAATTATTCTCAATCGATTGAATCAACTATGAATAAATGAGGTCAGATAATTATTAGAATCTATCCAAGGGATGGAAAAAGATTTTTTTAAATAAAAGTATTGCAAATTATTGTTGAAAAAATATTCTATTTCGAAAAAGCAGAACTAGGAGAAACAATTTTTAAAATTTGTAGAGATTGAAATTTTGTTAGTTTACTACTTTTAAGAATTGATACTTTTGATGAGAAAAATTTACTCTCAGTAGATATCAGTTTCGATTTAGAGATGATTTTATAATATCGGTATATGTATAAAATATAACAAAATTTTTTTATTGATACAAAAAGGTTGTTTCATTTATCTAAAAGGATGAAATGCACATAACAATATACTCATTTTGAAAGCAATTTCCGGTTTTTGTAGTCTGCACTTTCATACAATTATTGGAGATTTCATTGGTTAAGCAATGATAAGTGGATAATTTAATGAAAATGGATTGTCAGTCATGACGATAAAGATATAGAGTAAATTCTCACTGTTTCCACAAATAATAGGAAAATGGAATTTACCATATATTACTATATATATTTGCACTCAACGTCGAAAATCAGCTTATTCTGCAATCCCTAAACCAAAAGTAATTCAAGTTTCATGACAATCTAATACTGTGTCAAGAGAATTCCTCTGAAAATTGTGAGAGTACACAGACACAAATTCCCAAAACCTATTAAGCAATTTCTTTTTTTTTTATATTTATTATATTTAAATAATTTTTTTTTCTAAATGTTAATTTGCTTCATTTCTCCAGTGTAAATATTACGATAACGTATACCTAAATCAATTTATTGTGAATATTGTTAAATATTTGTACAAAGAGGTAAATTTTATAGCATCGACAATCATAAATAGATGGACAAATAGTGTCAATTGAGGGGTGAATAATAACTGTATTGTAACTTTGATAAAGGGAACGTTTTATTTGAATAAAATTGTTGACCTTTCTTTTTGGTAAATAAAGGGATAAAATAATAAACGTTTGTATTTGTTTGTACAATTTATTTGTTTAATAATTAATGAGGAAGAGTTGTTTGGGTGTCAAAGTTTAGTGTTATGTTTCAGAAAGAAACTAAACATACTCTAAATTATACATATTTAAATTGTTTGGCATCGGTAACCCAAACCTGATTTCTGATCTTAACGGTCAGGTTTAAGGAAGAGGAGCTTAAATTGAATTTAAATTATTAAAGTTTTTATTTAAATCC